GTCCCTGCATTTAAGTCTTTGATTCATTTTGAATTAATGTTTGTACATTGTGTGATATAAGGGTCTAAGTTCATTTATTTGCATATGGATATTCAGTTTTTGCAGAATCATTTTGCAAAGTTATCTTTTTCTTATAGAATTACCTTGGCACTTCTGTCAAAAATCAATTAATCATAATCATGTAAGTTTATCTCTAAACAGGGTCATGCTCTGTTGCCTAGGCTGGAGTGCAGTTCTTCCATCATAGCTTACTGCAGGTTGGAACTCCTGGGTTCAAGCCATTACAGGCATGACACCAGGCCTAGCCTCCCATGTTGTTTCTTCTTCTTTCTTCCTTCCTTCTTTCTTCTTCTCCTCCTCCTCCTCTTCCTCCTCCTTCTCTTTTCCTCCTTCTCCTCTCCTCCTCCTCCTCCTTCTCCTCCTCTCCTCTCCTCCTCCTTCTCCTTCTTCCTCTTCTTCTTTTTCTATTTTGGCCTTACTGAATCACCATGTTTCTTTTATACTTAATTTCTTCCCCTATCTCCTACCCCAGCAGCAACTATGGATATTTTCTGTCCCTATAGTTTTGCACTTGCAAGAATTTCATAGGAATACCATAGTATGTAGCCTTTTGTATCTGGCCTTTTAAATTCAGCATAATGCAGATGAGTTTCATCCCTGTTGTTACATTTACCAATAGTTTGTTCCTTTTTATGCCATAGGAATATTATAGTGGTCTGTAAGCTTCAAGAGAAGTTAAAACCATCTAGGTAGGACTCAATTCACAAGTTGAAAAGGTACTAAAGCAATAGAGAAGGTACAGGGTGAGATTGTAATCAAGTGATGATGATACATCTCCAAGAATTATTTCAGAGAGTTAGATTTATCCATAAACCCATTTTGAACTTGTGTCTGCAAGAGGGAATAGAATGGTCATTCTGACACCAGATTCTGTAAGAAGAGGAAGAAGGAAGTCTTCCCACAAAGTGATACAGATATCTAGTGCGGAAAGGTCCTAATTACTTGTTCTTGTATTCCCAGGAGGCAAATCTTGGGGATTATCAGGGGAAAGAGCATTTCAGGCAAATGAAATTCCAACTTCAACAGCCCTGAGGTGAGATTCTCATGCTAGGATTAGTTTATAGGTAAAGAAAATAATTGATAAGATTAGCAATTGGAGTTCTTCCCGATCAAAATCAACTCTATAGTACCATGTCACTGGGAGGTATGAGGCTGTGGGAGCTTGTGAGCATAGCAGTAACTGATGAGAAACATACTGAGCATTTTTTTCAGTATGTTTGCTGCCCTCTGTGAAAATTAGTGAAGCTTTTATTCGAGAAACCATGCGAACTGAGATCCTGGGGTTTGGTGGTGAAATGGCAGGGTTGGTCAACTGATTTTACATCTGGTGTCCAAGGCTCAGGTAAGTACACTTCATATGGGCAGAGACCATCTCATACAGAATCTGCTCATTTCTCTTCTCTGGCTTCTCGCATTTTCCCTTGCTAGGCTACATTATTGAAAAGGAATTTACCAGACCGTATATTCTTAGTTTCTCATGACAATGAATTGAATAACTGAATTACATATTAGTTATGTTGCTGCAGATATTTCCCACGGGAAACGCTGGAGAGGATCTTTTGGGGAAAAAAACATATTTTTGTCAAGATTACAATTATGGAGAACTTTAATAAGTGATGATCTTTCATAGATAAATTCACCAGAACTCCTTTCCATAAATTTCACAATTTATAATTTCCATATACTTTCAATAATTTTATAAAAAAGTCTCTCCAGACACCTTCCCATTTTTCCCATTGGTGTTCATTTCTGTCTTAGGCACCGGGAAGCTGAATACCATCATAGGCATCTATTAGCTAAGCATGACAGCATACCTGTGTGAAAACTGTCAGAATCAAAATGGAGTCACTATTGTTAAAACACACAAACACACAAACTAACTAAAAACGCTGATTAATAGAGCTGGAAAAGGCCATGCTTGATAACAAAAACTATCACAAAAGACTGCAAAAACCATAACCTTGCACAGGCCATCACAATCCTACACAAAAAATACTTCTATAAGGACATCTGCCCCACAACTGCCTGTCCAACCTCAGACTAGCTTCCTCTCTACGATCCATCTTTGTAGCACATGATAATTACTTCAACACAGTTATATAATCCTTCTCATTTTTTCCCTTAAAAATCTTTGTCGCTGGGCTCGGTGGCTCACGCCTGTAATCCCAGCACTTTAGGAGGCCGAGGTGGGTGGATCATGAGGTCAGGAGTTTGAGACCAGCCTGGCCAACATGGTGAAACCCCGTCTCTACTAAAAATACAAAAATTAGCCGGGTGTGGTGGCGGGCATCTGTAATTCTAGGTACTCGGGAGATTGAGGCAGGAGAATTGCTTGAACCCGGAAGGCGGAGGTTGCAGTGAGCCAAGATCGTTGCACTCCAGCCTGGGCGACAGAGCCAGACTCCAACTCAAAAACACCTTTTTCTTCTTTTACCTCCCTGAATATACATAGTTTCCTATGGCACTCGTTTTTTCTTTGCAATGCTCTATTCCCAAATAAACATCATTTTCTTTCAGAGAGCTTCTCTTTGTTATTTAGGTTGACACCTGTAAATAGAATGTTATATTTCTTTTTTAAATTGTGGGGGGAGGGAGAAGTGTTGTGTTTCATTTATTTGTCCCATTACAATTGTGCAATATCATATGAGCCGCTGAATTCCTAAACATAAGTACACACACAACGCACTTCCTGTCTCATGTTTTGTGTCTCGAACACAAATTACAAATTATACAAATTGTGCAATTTTCCTTGCCCTTCAGAAAGGAGAATCTCAATGTTTCCAAAATGAACTGGGCAGTAACTCCGCTTCAAGGTGGTAGGTCCCCCCCTTTTCAACCCAGTTGTGTAAGATAAACTTGTCTTTATTATTCACTTCCTAAAGAGAAAGGAGGTGCTAAGCAGACAGGACAGCTGGACAACACGTGCAATAAGGGCAATGGTCCTATCTACTCTATTTAAGGGAGCAGTACACGGAATACTCGTGGGTTTTTTTTTTTTTTCTGGTTTTTTTTGGACCTATGTGAAATTTTAAATGTTCAAGGGAATTGTTCATACAATTGTATAGTCACTATCCCTACTCAGATGAGAACATTTTAGAACATTTTGGAACATTTCTAATATCCTCGAAACTTTCCTCACGTTTCCCTATATTTTCAAAATGAACAAGAATACAGGATAGTCAAAAGCAATAAATTCTGAAGTATCCAAATAACATGCAACAACATCCTTCGATAGCTCAGCTGGTAGAGCGGAGGACTGTAGGGGTTTGAATATAGTCATCCTTAGGTCGCTGGTTCGAGTCCGGCTCGGAGGAGTTCCTTTTTAAAAGGGTCTCTCCTGGGCCTGAAATAAAGAAACTTGAAGAACGCAGTGTGCAGCTTGCTATACATGAATTTGTAAGACGCTCAGAGAAGGAAAATAATCCACCTTTAAAATTGCTAACAAGGGTTGCTTCACGGACAGTCGAGTAAGACTCAATTTTCACCAAGTTGAGGAGGGATCATGAGGAATGTGGGGAACGGGATTTTGATATCCCTTCCCTCTTCAAAAAAGGAGCAGTGTACACCTGACAGAAAGTTCTCTTCAATAAAGTTAATGAAACAGGCGTATTTGAATTCGAAGAATCTATTATTAGACTTTTAGACACTCCATGAAAGAGTGTGGGCCCTGTTACTTTAGAAATATACTTGGGGACTGGCAAAAACTGTCATCTCTGATTTTAATAGTGGACACATTTACTCCCTGCTTCCATTCTCTGGGCTACTCTGCGCTCTTGGAGCGAGATGGGAAATTTTGTCAGGCCGCAGCAAGGGCGGATTTATACTGATGGTCCTCAAACTTGCCCCGGGCTGCTTCCAGAAAGCTAATCGGATTATTTGTACTCGGTTCCCAGCAATATCCTTTGCAGTCAGCTTGTCGCTGGCGCGGATCGCAAGAACTGAAACGCCTTAAGGGTGGGGATGGCGCCCCCTGCTGGTCGCGCCCTCGGGCGACGGTAAGAGATTGAGGACTCGAGCCCGCGCGGGGAAAACGGCTATGGGCTTGGCTTAGGGATGGTTCGCAGGTCGCCTGGTAGGAGCCGCACCGCCGGGGCCTTGTCCGTTCTGTGGTTACGTAGGTCATAGAAGGAAAACTGGTTTGTGATCTGATGGGGAATCTGTGAGGACAGACCCAGGGAGGGCAGAACTAAGCGCACCGCCGGGGGGGTCGCCAGAATTGCAGGCGTGTGCGCCTCTGACAACTATTTGCAACGTAAGTATGCATATGGATAATGTATCAATACACATGTGTAATAGATGCCAAACAAATTATTCAAATAATTGTCACACATTTAAATTTTCAGACATTCACAAAATCAAATGTAAAATATTAAACTGAAAGTTCGCAATTTAAATTTTCAAAAATTAAATCTAATTTCCAAAATTAACCGTTTTCAAAATTAAATTTTAAAATATTCAAAATTCCAAGGTAAATTTCCAGAAATAATTAAAACTTCAAAACTCAAATCTTTTAAATGAAATGTATAAACTTTAAAAGGTGAGTCATTCCTCAGCTGGAATCGCACCCAGGGCCCTCGAATAAAATGCTATTTTGATCGCTAGCACACACAGAAACTTCCCTAAAACTGCTCTACAAAATTCCCTAAAAACCCGGCATCAACCCGCCTTTAGCGACGTTCTATAGCGTAGGTTATATCTGGGGATCTGCCTTTTCTGGTTCTGCCTGTCCTGAGTTGGAGATGTGACGGGGAATCTGTGAACCTAAAACAAGCTTCCTATCCCGCTTCCACGCTCTGAATCTGGCTTTCCCACCTGACACCCCACTTCCGCCCTCTCCCCTCGGCCTTCCCCTGGACCCGACTGCATCGCCAATCATATCCTTTCATTTGTCATCACCGCCTTGGCCCCGCCCCCTCGTCTCAGGCCGTCGCACACGTTTTGCGTCAGTAGGCAAGGCACTTTACGGCCTTCGTGCCGCTCATGTCAGTCAACATGGAGGCAGAGGAATCGGAGAAGGCCGCAACGGAGCACGAGCCGCTGAAAGGGACAGAACAGACACTAGACGTGGAGGAGGAGCAGGAGGAATCCGAAGCAGCGGTCTGTGGCCGCAATAAGCGGGTAGTGCCAGGTATTGTGTACCTGGGCCATATCCCGCCGCGCTTCCGTCCCCTGCACGTCCGTAACCTTCTCAGCGCCTATGGCGAGGTCGGACGCGTCTTCTTTCAGGCTGAGGGTAAGTATGCAGACCCTGACGGTGAAAGGAGGAGGTTGTCGCTCGCTGGCGGGGTGCAAGCGTGGATGTCTTGTTGCTTCGCTGCGCGAGACTGAGGCACGAGTTGTTGGATTTTGGGGGTGGGGAGTGCGGTGCTCGGCCCCTGGCTGGTGAATCAGTCAGTGAGGATGCTGGGGTGGGTGGGCGGAGGGGATATGGGGAGAGTGGGTAGCGCAGTGCGTCTGGTGGTTCTTTAGTTCTCGGATTGTTACTATTCGTGTTCTTATCCCGGCCGTGCTCACCTCTCTTTCCGGATCTGTTTACTGGTTTGTTATATGAGTACAACAGAGTAAAAGCCTCGTTAGCTTTTCTACAAAACTGAACATACCCCTTTAGCATCGCGGCCTAGGTCAAGAAACTGATCAACCGCCTTTCCTCTTTCCACCCTCAATTTTACATTGAGGTTGGGGACTTGAGCGGGTGTTAAATAGCGTTCAAAGCCGGCCAGATTAAGGAGTGGACAATTAAGGAAAGAATTGAGTTAGCTAGAGGAAAGGGTGCAATTTACAGTTCCCTCCCTCCTGGGCAAAAACTCTCAGGTGGGACTTCCGCTGGCAGATGTGAAGAACGATGCGGGCAATGGGAAGTGGTTTTGAGTGAGTGCTGCATAGTCCCTGACGGGTCTTTTTGTCTTTGGCGCTCAGATCGGTTCGTGAGACGCAAGAAGAAAGCAGCAGCAGCTGCGGGAGGGAAAAAGCGGTCCTACAGCAAGGACTACACCGAGGGATGGGTGGAGTTCCGTGACAAGCGCATAGCCAAGCGCGTGGCGGCCAGTCTACACAACACGCCTATGGGTGCCCGCAGGCGCAGCCCCTTCCGTTATGATCTTTGGAACCTCAAGGTGAGGAGATAGATCTTTCTGCCACACCTCTCACCCTCCCTTCTCCCCAGCTCTGGCCCAAGTATACCCATGGCTTCTCATTGGTCTTGTCCCCCTGTCTCATTTTTCTCCCTAATCTGCACTATCCTGATCTTTTCTTATTTTCTGCCCACAGTACTTGCACCGTTTCACCTGGTCCCACCTTAGCGAGCACCTTGCCTTTGAGCGCCAGGTGCGCAGGCAGCGCCTGAGAGCGGAGGTTGCTCAGGCCAAGCGTGAGACCGACTTCTATCTTCAAAGTGTGGAACGGGGACAACGCTTTCTTGCGGCCGATGGGGACCCTGCTCGCCCAGATGGCTCCTGGACATTTGCGCAACGTCCTACTGAGCAGGAACTTAGGGCCCGGAAAGCAGCACGGCCAGGGGGTCGTGAACGGGCTCGCCTGGCGACTGCCCAGGACAAGGCCCGCTCCAACAAAGGGCTCCTGGCCAGGATCTTTGGAGCCCCACCACCCTCAGAGAGCATGGAGGGACCTTCCCTTGTCAGGGACTCCTGAGGGCCAGGGTGGCCCCTTCCAGCTCCTAGCCCTGCTCTGCTTCCTGTCTACCTCATAGCAGAATGATCGTGACTATCCCGGCAAACATTTTACTGTGTTTCTCAGACCAAGTGTCTCTGCTAAGGGCCCAAACGTGCAAGTTTTGATGGCTTCCACTATCCTCACTCCGAACTCCTGTATATGCCTGGCTGAGTCACCTAATTCATACTGTCATACTAGCATGATTATGACTATTGCATATGCTTGTTTTGTTTGACTCTTGGCTGCCAACGTCTATAGGGTCCCCTAAAAATCCCACGTCCTGCCCCCAGGAAGGGGCCTTTATTTCCAACTAGGGGGATAATGCCTAGTCCCGGCAATCTTTCTCTGTTTAGCAGTCACAGGTGAGGGTGGTATTAGCATCTTTTTTATGTAGAAAAAATTGACAGTTAATGGCGTGGACTGAGTTGGGGAGAAATACATTTCCTAATGTATTAATCCCAGCACTTTGGGAGGCCGAGGCGGGTGGATCACGAGGTCAGGAGATCGAGACTATCCTGGCTAACATGATGAAACCCCGTCTCTACTAAAAATACAAAAAATTAGCCGGGCACGGTGGCGGGCGCCTGTAGTCCCAGCTACTTGGGAGGCTGAGGCGGGAGAATGGCGTGAACCCGGGAGGCGGAGCTTGCAGTGAGCCGAGATCGCGCCACTGCACTCCAGCCTGGGAGACACAGTAAGACTCCGTCTCAAAAAAAAAAAAAAAAAAGAAAAATATTTTTATATGCCTTTTTATTTTTGTTGGGGAGGGTCATTGGACAAGTTCCAGCTTTCATCTCCTTGTGTTCACCTTCATCTCCTGATCTTAGAGCCCCCCCGCCCCCGCCACCCACCTTACTGTTTAACCTGGATTTTTTTTCTATTTAATTTCTGTCTAATAGCCCAGTTTATCAATTAGTTATCTTAAGTCAGCATTTTCTAAGCCATTGAGGAAACAGTGACAATAGGTAATAACACATCTTAGTATTAAGAGTTTTACAGGCCACTAGTATAAGATAGGCATCGTGGTGAATGCATATACGGGATGGAATGGGGGCCACGGCATATCATAGAGCCCCTCTCAAGGGGGACCTGATTGATGATCACAGTCTTCAGTGGTGAGTCAGTCCTCACCAAGTTTTCCGGGTCATTCCTACAAAATAACTGTAAGAATAATAAAGGAGAAGTTTGAAAGAGTCTGGAGTGCTCCCACAATTGCAAACAATGCTTCCTGGGTGGAGTGTTGAGTTGGAACCATTGTAAAGGTGGGCAAAGCCTAGTAGAGAACCAGTGCGCCTCAGGTGCACTTGTATATAGTGGGGCTGAGGCAAAGGAGCCCTGTAGGCTTCAAAGAATCAGTGTAAGCTACTAAAAGGAACTGAAAACCTAGGTGTCACAATAAACAGTCTACACAGTTTCATGTAGACAAAAATTCTGATCATTTTCCAGGCTGTTTCAGGAAGTGGTAGATGATTATGATTAGTATTTTGCTTGTGCTGTTTGTTTTTGTTTTTTGTCTGTCAATGTGATGATCTGTGTTTTATGGGGTAGAGTGGATTTGTCTACTTTGGCTGTAAAATATCCTAACCACATTATGATCTTGATAGGTGCACTTTACTGGGTAGAGTAAAAAGGACCACACAGTAAAGCTTGGTATAACATTTCTCACAACCCACATACCTCTTATACTTGGCACACAAACTACATTTCCACTTAGAAACTTTCATCTTGTTTCTCTTTTTATTTCTTGTGGGTTTGTTTCATGTGAATTGTTTCCTCAGGTCATTGATGTCTTCAAGTGAAACAGAAAAATCCAGAATCTGAATTTGACAGGCTGGCATATTCAGAATTCCAAGTGCCCATTGCTACTTCTGCTAGATAAAGAGATACCAACGTGAAGAAGAAACTTTCCTTCCAGTTGCTAACAGCTTAGAAAGTACAGTAGACATACTGGGGTTTTATTTAAGACTTGAATGAAGAAAGAAATTGCATTCCCAGGGTGGACAGACAGCATTAGATAACAGTATGTTCAAGGGTTGGTATTTCAGGCTTCATCTCCAAAACAGTTCGGTACAAAGAGCTCACACCTGCGGCCAAGCAAGCTGATTAAGTCACAGGTGGAGTGAGGACAGAATAAGTGGGTGGAATAAAATATCCTAGGGTCTTTCACCTTGACTTTAAGCCTATTGAGGGTAGGAAAATAATTTTTTTACATCCACAATTTTCTTTCTTTTTAAACAGCACTTTGTTTTTTTATATGAAGTAACTCATTTAATCCACAACTATATAATATTGTTATCCCCCCCATTAAAACTGAGCTCAGAGATATGACTCAATTTCCTCTTAATATTTTATCCTTTGTTCCCCACCTTTGCCCCAGCTTTTCCCAGTGTGCATATAGTGAATGCTTATTACATGAAACTCATGAGAAATGCACGTCATAAACTAGAGAATGAAGTGTACCTGCAAATATGAGTGGACTTATTTTATCTAAGACCAAGAGTAGCAAACGGAGTAATAATTCTCAGTCATGATTCTGTGGTTGCAGTGTATACTCTGATTCAACTTAGTTTCACTCCTGTCTGAGAAGCTGGGACTCTGCATTTGATGGCAATGGAGTGGGCTGATTTCTTTCCAAATAAGTTGAGGTGGGACTCCTGGTAGAATAAGAGGGCTTTAATAGGGTATGTCTGGGTGCCTAAAAACTGCCTTTTTTTTTTTTTTTTTCCAGAAGCAGGGTCTCTCTATGTTGCTCAGGCTGGTCTTGAGCTCCTGGGCTCAAGCGATCCTCCCTCCTCGGCCTCCCAAAGTGCTGGGATTACAGGCATGAGCCACCATGCCCTGCCCTAAAAACGTTCAAAAGTTGTACTTAGAGCTACTCTCAAATTACTTTTCTTGTGATTCCTCATAAAACCTTTCTCCCTGAAATTTGTCTTGTTACATCACAGTAGAATTATGAGGGGAAAATCCTTTGGTGGAAGTCTAGGGACATGCTCAGCTCCCCAGGAGGCTTTATATGAATTTTAGCGAATTGCTTAAGATCCAATATTAGATCTGCTGTTCCCCACCCACCCCCCTTTTATTTTTTGAGACAGAGTCTCACTTTGTCACCCAGGTTGGAGTGTAGTGGCACGATCCTGGCTCACTGCAGCCTCCATCTTCTGGCCTCAAGCGATCCTCCCACCTCAGTTTCCTGAGTAGCTGGGACCACAGGCATGCACCATCATGCCCAGCTAATTTTTAAAATATTTTTTCTAGAGATGAGGTCTCACTGTGTTGCCCAGGCTACTCTCGAACTCCTGTTCTCAAGCAATCCACCCACCTTGGCCTCCCAAAGTGCTGAGATTACAGCTACAGTGCTCAGCGCCCATCTTGAAATCAATACCTGACAGAATATTAAAGAAAATGAAAATTGGCTGGGTGTGGTGGCTCACGCCTGTAATCCCAACACTTTGGGAGGCCGAGCCGGGTGCATCACTTGAGGTCAGGAGTTCGAGACCAGCGTGGGCAACATAGTGAAATGCTGTTTCTACTAAAAATACAAAAATTAGCCGAGTGTAATGGTGGGTGCCTGTAATCCCAGCTGCGCGGGAGCCTAAGGCAGGAGAATCGCTGCTTGAACCCGGGAGGCAGAAGTTTCAGTGAGTCGAGATTAAAAATCAATCTTCTGTCACCAGGGCCATTGAAACCACACTTTTTTCGCACCCCTTGTTAACTGGAGACACGAAGGCGGGCTGAGGGGAGAGACCATCAGAAACCTGGCAATGTCTTTTGTAGCTGCGTGGTGTGTGTCCAGCCACCTTCAGCAATTATTGTAGTGGCCAGTCTGTGGCTGACCTGGGCTATCAGGGTTAGCACACTCCAATGAGGTCCCCCAGCACGGTGGCTGTAAATGAATTCAGAGAACTTCTTTTTGTTTTTCACCTTTGCCTCCAATTCCAATGTGTCAATTATCATTGATTATTTAATCAGGACTTTATGGATGGATGTGCAGCTTCTTCTAATCTTTTTTTCTTTTAAGTGTTTAAAATAATAATGCTGACATGAGTCAATTTTAGTTGTACAAATATACCTATTGTGTAAAAATTGTCAGAAGCGAAATTGCAGAGTCTAAGAGAGACCATCTTTGGTATTCATTTTGTCAGCAAGAAAAAAATAGAGAGTCTGGTAATTTAGGAAAATACCAGTCACAGGAAGCCTGTAGATATCCTAGCTAGAGGTCTCCACCCCTTTCATTCGTGGTCTATTGTGACGTCCAAAGCCTGACCCAAGGAACTGATTCAGGTAGAGGCAACACCAGCTCAGTGTAGAGGGCCAGCTCTGCAAGACCTTGGCTGAGTGACTTCTGCTGCTTTTTGCTGTGGGGACTCTACTGGATAGACTAGCACATTGAGAGAGATGGAGTTTGGAAACAAAATAAGTAGTTCAGAACAATGGGATTTCTTTCAGATCTACTGGCATTTAGAAGGAGCTTGGTAAATTTAATCAAGAAACAAGGAAATGAAGATACCCAAGGATCATCAGGGGAAGAATAATGGTTGGATTTTCATTTAATTTGCCAGACACAATCCCTGAAGTAAGAAAATACCATTTCTCACGAAATTCCGGCACCAGAGTTTCAAACCACCAACCCTACGGTTAACAGCTGAACGCACTAACCAATTGTGCCACAGAAATGAATGTGGTGGAAGATCTCCATTCCAACAAGGTTATTTTACTTTTTTTCAGTCTAAACAATACGTTAGAAAGGAGGCTTCTTCTCCGTGTATTGGAAAAATGTTTTCCCATTTTTTGACTTTCATTGTTCCTATGTTAATGTATTTTAAAAACAGAGGTTTATAGGCTTGGCACGGTGGCTCACGCTGTAATCCCAGCACTGTGGAAGTCTGAGGCGGGTGGATCACGAGGTCAGGAGTTCCAGACCAGCCTGGCCAACATGGTGAAATGTGTCTCTACTAAAAATACAAAAATTAGCTGGGCATGGTGGCGGGCACCTGTAACCCCAGCTACTTGGGAGGCTGAGGCAGGAGAATTGCTTGAACCCGGGAAGCAGAGGTTGCAGTGAGCTGAGATCATACCACTGTACTCTAGCCTGGGTGACAGAGCAAGACTCCATCTCAAAAAACAACAACAGCAACAACAAAACACAGAGGTTTGTAATAATACAGATATTATTCTTAGAGAGGAACATCAAAGTGTTAATTGGGTGGAGAGCAGGAC